ACTGAAACTCGAGAGCTCGAACACACTGAAACTTTAGAGGAAGTTACTCTCAGAGTATGCGTAGGATAAGCAGAGGTGGCGCAGCATAAGACCGCCATTTTCGCAGAGCTCGGAGGGAAAATGGATATGGAAACTGGAGAGTGAAAGAAAGGAAACTAATCCATATAGGCTATAAGGCATGTTGGGCTTTTATCCAAATTGGGCTTGGCTTATTGGGCTTATCCACATAGGATTAGGTAGAAATGAGTCGATGACACAATATAACCACTTTTAAATCCCAATCCATCCTTGCTCATTTTGACTAGTATATGAACATGTTTAGCTTATTTAAGATTAGAATTACAATATTAAAATAGAATATTTTTTTCATTAAAATATAATTAAATTAAGCATGATTTAATAGATGACTCCTAAAAATAGTACATGAGCCTTTTTTATATTCTCTGGGTTGTTTGGTAGAGTGTATTAGAAAAATAATTATATATTAAATTTATGTATTGTTAATAGGAGTTAGTTAACTAATTGGTCACCCAAGTATTGAAAATTGCCTTCAAATATCACTTTTTGTTTTATTTAGGACTAAAATATCACTGAACTATCACTATTTTCTTCAAAATATACTTAACACTTCAAAAGCCTTATTCTCTCCTAGCTTTAGATTTAATTATATGAATTATCATTGATCATTGAGAAAGTAAAGAAAATCTTTTGAATCTTGTAGTCTTAAACTAAAGATATGTAAAATATAATGAAATGCCACTTAATCATGTGGTTTTAACTTTTAAACATTCAATATGGAAAGTTAAAATTAAAGAATTAGCCAAAAAAAAAACTGTTCTTTTTATTCTTTTTGAAATAGACTAAAAAAAAAAATATGACTAACAAATTGAAATGGGACAATACAAAATAATTTTCAAAAAGAAAACCTATAATAATTCTATTTATTGCTTTAAAAAGCGGCACGTCAAATTTTGAGACCTAAGATAGATACCTCATTTTCTAACCATAGAGTCGGCCCTCTAAATAGGTCATGGAGGCGCCGCAGTCCATCTATGTTCTCATTGACAAAAGTTGATACTCAATTTCTTCATAGAGATCTGACATTTCTGTGTTATCAGAAGGTGTTGTACGTGGAGTCGCCTTAGTCCATATGTATTTTCATTGACAAAAGTTGAATCTCAATTTCTTCATAGAGACCTGATATTTTCGTGTTATCAAAACGTGTCGTATGTGAAGGCGCAAAGTCCATCTGTGTTCTCATTAACAAAAGTTGAATTTCAATTTACACATAAAGACCTGACGTTTCCGTGTTATAGAAGGTAAGACTGCTTTTTTTACTATCTAGATCTATTTTAGTAATCAACTTGTTTTATTTTAGGTGTTGGTACAAAAGGGGCTATTTAAACAACATACAAATATTTGTTATTCTTATATCACTAATTATTTTTTTCTTTTATTGTTTATGCACATAAATAACGTATCTTGTTCAATAAATTGTTATGCATTCATATAGCTATATGTAATTGTCTTTCGATTGATGTTCAATGTTAGAGGCATACATATTAATTAATAGATCTAATAATTTATGTCACATCCCTAAAAAGGCTTCTTCTTCTTTTTTTTTCTTTTGATTTTTTAGACATTTTGTGTCTAAATTCTAGAATGACATGTTTATACTAATTTTTTTCTTGTTTTTATATAGTTTTAGAAATGTTTACCAACAAGGAGTTAGATAATTTCATGGGTGTCTTAAGCAAAAAATTAAATTATGCGGAGATTGAATGTGGTGTCACTAATCCCAAATATGGTGATTCAAAAGGAGTACTAAGAATTTTTCAAGGTGGAAAACTTGAAATTGTTTGTCATTGCCATGATGGATGCAAAAAAGGTCCTCTTTATTTTTCATTATTAATTTTCAATAATTTGTTCTAAAGTAATCTTTTTCTTCAAAGAATTCAATCCTTTATAAGCTTGTTGTATAAGTTTGTGGTATAATTTTTCTGAAATATTTTACAAAGTCAAATAATTTTCAAGAACATGTGTCCAGATTATGAAAAGAGAAGAAAAAAATGTTTGTTGTTGTAGAATCTAATTAGATGTTTGTATGTTTTTTTTCAAAAAAAAAAAAATAGGAGTAATTTGATTGGGAACAAGTGATTTTGTAATTTAATGATAAGATTATAACATGAATTTAAAATAGTGATGGAATTATTTAGTGGACATTCTTTTATTGATAATTATTTGAATTTTACATCAGATAAATTGAGATTAACTTTTACTTTCAATTTTGACCATAGATTTTCTAAAGAGTATTAAAGAACAACCTTGAAGAAGGACATCTTTATCACTAAATAATAATTTTATTATTTAATCATCATATATAATTCCGTCGTATAACTTGGCCTACTAAATTATCCCCTCGAAAACTTGTTTCTACTATCTAATGCTAATCATCTGGAAGTGGAGCTACAGTTCTAGTTATGAACTCAACATTATTCAATAATTTTGATAAAAATATTATATTTATGTTATGAAATCCACTTGATCATATATATATAAACAATTTACTCAAACATTTGGTAATCTACAATTTAAAAGTTTATAAACTCAAAAAAAAGTTGAATTTATCTTTGTTATATCACATTTTTTTTATTGATAAATAAACAGTTACTTGTTTGGAATGCAGTGAAGCTATCACCGATTGAATTTGTTAAACATGTTGGGAGAAAGATGGCAATGCAAAATTGGAAGAGTCAAATTTGGGTGAATAATAAGGAAAGGCGCAAACAAAATTTGTGGAGGACATGTTTTTTGAAATATCACATTGATACATTTCATAGGCCAATTCGTGGAGGAATTATATATCGTGATGAGTTCATTCGTTGCACTAAATGTAACAAACAACGTCGATTTTTTAGATGAACTAAAGAAGAATGCAAATATTATTATGATGCTATTGCTATGAAGGATTGAAAATGTTCTGATATGCCTCAAAAAAGGTACTACTTATTTTTTATCTATAATTTTTTTCAGTATCAGTATATTTAACCTATTTTAATAGGTGACGTGTCTTATTTATTTATGTTATATGAAACAAGTTTATAGTCTATTTGACCAAGGATTCAGAATCAGATAATCTTTAAAAAGTAATTTTTGAGAAGTAGTAACAATTTGATTTTATTTTATTTAATATATGAGTAACATTTTGTGTTTGGACAAGCTTTCAGAAAGTGTTTCTTGCGTAACTGTTCCCTTTAGCTTTTGAAAAAAAATTATGCTAGTATTCGATTTTTTTTCTTTTTCATAAAAAAATGGCCAAACACATCAATTCTTAAATTTTTTTTAAAAAAAAAACACTTTTTCAAATTAACAAATTGGCTTCCCAATAAAATTATTAAAATGTTTGGCCACTTTTTTATTTCAAAGAATAAATAGCTTAGTAAAAGAGTAACAATCAATTCATAAAATAACACATGTATTTTATGATCAAGTATCATGCATTTATAAATTATAATATATGCATGTATAACTTGTAATAGATGTGAATTAGTATGTCTTTCAACTCTACTACAATTTTTCATCATTTGTACAATTATTACTATCATTTCCTTGAATAATTTGTAGAATAAAATTTGCATATTGAAGATTATATTTTTATTGTTTACCATAAGTTTGATTTACTAATGATAATTTTTTTTTATGGTTAAGTTGTAATCAAGCTGAAGAGCGTGCAAGTCGAAAATTGTGCAGGGGCTGTCCAAAATCTGCTAAGTGCAATGGCTGTGTTAGGTGTGTGTGCTTCAGTTGCAGTATGTGTACATTTGAAGATTGCAAATGCCGTGCATGTGTCGACTTTTTCAACAACATTTGATGAAGTACCTCTTCGTCAACGTGTCTGCTTCTAATCAAGGGTATTTATAAAATTTCTATACTTTCTTCATTTTAATTTGTTCATGTTGTTTTTTTTAGTGTTTTATATATTTATATATATATGACAATTACTTTTACTACTATATAGAAGCCTCTAGGAGTACCTACCTAAGCAGGCACCTCTTCGTTAACGTATCTGCTTTTGATCGAGGGTATTTATGAAATTTATGTACTTTCTTCGTTTTAAATTTGTTTATCTTGTTTACTACTATATAGAAGACTCTAGAAGTAGACACCTCTTCGTTGATGTGCTTGTTTCTAGTCAAGAATATTTATGAAATTTTTATACTTTCTCCTTTTTAATTTGTTTCTCTTATTTTTTTCAGTCTATTATATATTTAAAATTACTACTATATAGAAGACTCTAGGAGCACGACATTTTAGTCTTTTATATATTTGAAATTACTACTATATAGAAGACTCTAGGAACAAGGCACCTCTTTGTCAATATTTTTGCTTCTAGTCGAGGGTGTTTATAGAACTTCTATACTTTTTCTATAGTCAAGGGTGTTTATGGAATTCCTACAAGATTAAGGGTGTATTTAAGTTTAGTTCGTCAAGTACAAGGGTGTTTTTAACATTGTCAATAGTTCGGAGATAAAACTAATAATTCACGTCAAATTTAAGGGTGTTTTCAATACTTTTCTGTTCATATATTTGAAAATTACGTACGGAAGTTTATAATTAAAGAAGAAATAAATAAATTGACACACAGCTGATATGCATTCAATTGGTTTCTTTCATTTTCAGCACTTTGCTTGTACAAGTTTAATCACATCCTAATTTCTCTCCTTTCTTTAAAAAAAAATTATACAACTTTGACTACAAAAGGGAGCAAAAATCTATTAAGCCTACAAGAAAGTTTGCACTATCCAGGAGTACAAAAGACAAGCATACAGAAAAATATCCACAACATAACCAACAGCACAAAGTAGGAAGGCTTGAAACTCCCAAACCAGATGCAAATTGCACATTCCTCGATCCTTTTTCACACTCTGCTGCCAGTTGCACAATATATACCTGCGAGCAACATGAATACAGTATATTGAAGAAGCTTAGCTTATATATACTCAAGGTAACTGACTACTATTGTTGCCTGCCTTCTGCTTGGCAGTACAGCTTCGACTCCTTCTTCTACCTTTTCGAGCATTAACAATTTTAGCAGCCAAAGAATGGCCTTGAACTCCTAGTCCATTCGCTCCCACTAACTTTAACCCAAGACCTTTAAGCAACTCTGACAATTTGCAATTGTTTCCCTCCTTCACCAACTGCAGCTCATGTGCTTGCTCACGAGACACAACTGTATAAAGCTGCAGTGATGGATTTAATAAATGTTGAGGCATATTATCTGCCTCCACTGTATTAAATTCATCGTTGGATCTTCCAAAAGTAACTCTCATGAGTCCTAAAGATTTAGAATCACAAGTGAGGGGATCAAATACAAATAAGAACTTCCCGAATGCTAGATCTGGCTTTATGAACAACTCTTCCAAGACATCATTGCTTGGTCCAACATTCTTTGATACAGTCCTCCTTGGATTATTTTGCCTCGCTTTCATGGTTTGGGAAATGTGAGAAGCTTCTCTTAAGCCACTCAAATAGGCTCCATGCATGGTGGCTGGATGTTGTCGAATCGTAGCCTCTCCAGCAAAAAACAACCGACCTCCAAGATTTTCTGCAAGTATGTCATAATCACTGCCAGATGACTGAACACGAATATGTGAATATGAGCCAAACGAAAAGGGGTCACTTCCCCATTTTGTGCATATGGATTGTATAGGATCAGGCACGCTTATTCCCTTTGGTTCATATATGCCTGTCGAAGTAGCCAGGTGAAAATCAAAACCAGATTTCAGGTTCTTCCTCAAAGAACAAAAACAGGGAAAAGAAAATTAAAAATCTATCTAGTCTTATATAAATATGGATGATACGTCCCCAAGGAGACCTCCTAGTGGTTAAATCATGACAATAAGGTTGAAATCCCTACAACAACATATGGTGTGAACCCATTTTCTCCGGCCTCCATGAGCAGGATCACATGGGAAGCCTGTTGTTTGTTACCTGGACAGGCTGATTGGTGGATTAGTCGAGGTGCGTGTAAGTTGACCCAGACACCATCCATAGAAAAAATATAAAGATACAAAAACAAAGATAGATGATACCTTTGAGAATGTTAATCACTCGATTAATTAAAGTGGATGGCTCTGTGCTTTCGAAAAGTTGAGCAGCGTCACCAGCAACAAGTGCAATAAGTACTGGACCCCCAGAAACAGTATGGTAACTGTAAAATAAGAAGTACTCTCCTCGTCTGTGGCTATGATGGTTGAGGCAACCGAAGGTATCCAAGTCTTCTCCCCAAAAAATATGAGGGAATACCATGGCAACCTTATTCAGCAACCCAAATCCTAGCCTATCAATAGCTTCAAGCTTCTTCTCAGGTAACTCTGGTTCAAATCTAATTGATCTTCTTTTTAGTACCCCAAGAGGAACAGTACATAGGACCATGTCTGCCTGAAAAAGTTGGTCCCCAGCAACGACCTCAACTCCTTCATTTCCATACTTTATCGTCTGAACAGTCTTTCCATAGAATATAGGAACTCCTTTGCACAGTGCTCTGATCATACCCCGATTTCCACCAGCAAGAAAACAATGATCACCACCCATTTCATAAGGGTCGTCCTGATCCCAATAGGCAGCAGAGAGTTCCGAGAGGCATCCAGCATTTGCATATTCCAAGTTTGCAAAATGCCAATGCAGAAGTTGCTTCTCCTCTTTAGTTTTAGCCACACAATATAATCGTCTAAGTGTCTCCAAAACAGAGCCTAACGAGACATCAGTAGCCAATCCACTTACGATTTTTCTTAGCTCAGTAACTTTGTCTAGTAGCTTATTGAAAATGAGTTCAATTGTGGAATCAACTACTGCATCAACAGGAGCACCATCAGGCTTGTATAAAGGACACTTATCTCTAACCTTGTGAAGCGGAATGGAAAGTTGTCTAGCCAAAACTCCCAAAGGATTCGCATGGATACCAGTTATAACACTGCCACCAAGATCCACAGCAGCAAACTTTCCCTTCCATCCCATTTTCTCAGTATAAACTCTCCCTCCAGGTCGGTGCCTACCTTCAAGGATACTTACCTTGAATCCAAACGACATCAGTTGCCTTGCTGCAGCCAAACCAGCGAGTCCAGCACCAACAATAATTACAGACCCTTCACTAGGTTCCTCAGGAAGATTAGATACAAATGACGGTGAAACCCCAAAATTTATATACCCATTACTCAAAAGAAAATCATATGCTATGGCTACCAAATGTTCATACTCAACACTTACAGTTTCCCTTATCCTTCCTTTGTTCAGCCAAATATGCACATTCTCCCTCCATTTTGCAAGAATATGGTTTCTCACAACGATGTAATCGTTTTGCTCTTTCCCATCCAGTTCACTTACAACTCCAGCCTTTATTTCTTCTTCAAGAAGGTCATCAATTGGGAAGCCCAAAGAAAGAGCAATCAAGGCCTCTTTTTCAGTTTCTTTCTCCAAATCTTTCTTCGTTCTAATCTTCTTCCTCACCGGCCCACCCAACTGCTCATCCATGAAATTATCCATCAAATTCTCATCATAATTCCTAGAAGCTATCCTCTTTCTCACAGGTCTCTTTGAGATTGACCCCCCTGAATTTGGGATTTCCATTTTTCTTTTCATATTCCCAACAAATTGGTATTTCTACAACGATGTTACACTGAACTCGCGCTAATTATAGCCTGAATTCACTTCAAAATTCCAAGTCTCCGCAACCTGATACCAATTCAACCTACATAAAGTAAAACAAAATTATTTTCCAGAAAAATTGTAACTTACACTAAATTGGATATTAAAATTGATCATGGAAAGCTAGTACAAAATGTAACAATCAGATTGGAATTTTCAATTTCTATACTGAAAAGGCGTCACAAAGTACTATCTCAATTTCAAATTCGAATTATATCATGAGAATTAGGGATTCATGAGAAACAGTGATGGATTAGGGTTTTTGTTTCATGAGAAAGAAAACTTACAATTTCAAGCCCAGTGGAGATCCTGAAGGTGTTCGGAGAAGCAAAGAATTCACGGTGGAAAGGTTTACTCCGGCGACATTTGAAATTGGCGGGCGAAAAAGGGGAATTAGGGTCCGAATTTCAAATTGGGTTTGAGTGTTCAAAATCTGATGCAATTTTTTATTACATCCATATATTATCCATTTAACTGATAACCGTTCGTCAGTTTGGAAAAATTGACCAAAAACGTCCTTCTGTTAACTTTTTCTTCTATTTTAACGGAGTTTACTGTATCATGCAACTTATTTTTAATGCCTTCCTACTTTGTGCTGTTGGTTATGTTGTGGATATTTTCTTGTATGCTTGTCTTTTGTAGGGACCAAGGACAAGTATACCCCGAAAATATCGTAAATAGTATGCAGATACCTTTCGTTATACTTTTAGAATATTGGTGCTCCTACCGTCCAAAAATTAGAACATATATACCCTTCACTCTAACGAAAGACTAAATAGGGACATGTATGTGCAATCTTATCCGTCGAATCGGTGGATAAGATAATGACACGTGTATGTCTGTTAGTATGAAGGATATATATGTCACGCCCCGAGCCTACACCCTGGACGTGGCCGGCACTCGAAGACCATTTCTGGTCCCCAAGCAAATCCTCATCCTGGCTGACTCCAAGCGGAATACTAACTTAAGCATACAAGAGCTTAAAACTGAATAAGAGTTTATAAACTCAACTTTATAAATCTTTAACTCAAAAGAAAACTCTGTATAATAGAATATATATACAACTCGCCATAAAAGGCAACTTTAGTCTTCAAAACATTTAACAAAATAAATGAAGAGACTTCTGAAACTCTATTGTCTATCTATGAAGCCTCTAACTGATAAAGATGGAAGCCGGGACAAGACCCACGACCTCCTAACAACTGATACAACTGAAAGGTAAATGAAATCCTCCGGAAGCAAAGAGGCTTGTCATAGCTAACTGGAACTCCCGGATGTATCAACGAATCTCCTGTTGATGATCCTGAATACCTGTGTCTGCATCATAAAAAGATGCAGGCCAAATGGCTCAGTACGTGGAATGTACGAGTATGTAAGCTGGAAATCTAAACAACATAGGCTAGAAGAAACACTGGAATAAACTGAATAACTTACCTCTTTTTCAAACTTTCTCAACTCAAGGAATACTCAAAACTACTCAAACTTACTCAACTCAAAAGATAGATACTGGACTCAAAGACAGATACTCAACTCAAAGATATATACTCAACTCAAGATATATACTTAACTCAAAGATACTTAACTCAAGGATACTCGACTCTTGAATAACTGAACTCAACCTGACTGACTTCTTTCAATATAAGGTAATTTAAAACAAGTGCGATATAAAGAAAGACTGTTTAAAACATGCTATAAACTCTGAGTGTATACAAGGATACAATAAGTCTGAGATGTATATAGAAATACAATTGAACTGATGTATATAAAATACAATAATTTCTGTGTATGAAAATACAATAACTGCTGTGGGAGTTTCTCTAACCGACAACCATCACATAAGAGCTATAGTGATGATACAGCGATTGACCTCACGCTGCCAGAGCATCTTATACCCGGCCAAAGGTATAAGACCTGAACTGCCTAATGGATCCACTAGTCTAATCTGAAAAGGATTCATCTAAAAAGTATGATCCTTTTCTACCCATGGTAGCTAACATGGTTCTATGGGGGCTGTGGGTTCTTTGAACGCTCCCCCAATTCGGTGCTCGATACTACTCCCAAAATGTACTGGCTCTTATGTTTTTAAAACATATTTATTCCTGCTGATATGAGATAATTACTCAAAAACTAGCCCGAAGGCTCTTTGGAAATCTCAATTTCCAACCTTGTTTAGATGTAAAGACATTTCTTTAAAACTCCTTTGGGAATACATAGTTCCCTAATAACTTTGAGAAATGAACTCAACTTTAAACTCTTGACTCTTTACTCTTTACTTGACTTGAAACTCTTTACTTTACTTGAACTCTTGGCTTGATGTGAAACTCTTAACTTAACATGAAATTCTTAACTTTGACTTGACTTGAAACTCTTGACTCAGAACTCTTCATTCTTTACTTAACTTGAGCCTTAAAATGAAGTTAAAACGATCAATGAAGACTCTTGGAAAACCTTAAAGACTTGTTTTGACTTACCTACTTCTAAGCTTGACTTCACTTGACTTGGAAACTAACTTCACTTGATTTTGAAACTAGCTTCACTTGACTTGGAAACTAACTTCACTTGAATTGGAATTATGAATTCAAGGGTAATGATTTGTGTTTGGAAAGACCCCATGATGATTAGGAATAATTTAGGACAGCTAGACTTAAGAAAAAAATTCGAAATTTAATTCTAAAAACAGAACAGATTCTGTTCACAGAGGTAAACACAGCTGCAACGCAGACTTGCTTCAGGCAAGCTGCCCAACTTTTCTCCTTCATGTTGCCAACTCTAAACCCTCTCAACCTCAAAGGTTCTTTTCCCAAACACTTGGGGTCATAAACCCCTCAACATACAGTGGATTCCACTAAAAAACGCAACCAGATCCTATCCCAAATCAGCAAGAACTTCAACAACACAACCAACAACTTCAACAACCAAAATACATCTTTTCTTGGAATTAAAAACGAGTTGGTGTGTGGGGGTATGAACCAACCAACACTAAGGATCATAAAATCCCTCAATATACAATAGATTTCAGCTTAAGAACACAACCAAATCATGTCCCACAACCAACAATAACTTCCACAACACAACTAACAACATCAACAACAACTAACAACTTCAACAACTTCAACAACAAATCCAATCTTTTCTCAAATCATAAAATGAGCTTGGTGTGTGGGGGAAAGGATCAACCCACACTAAAGAACTCACATACCTGATTAGGGATCACCCCCGACGAAAATCCACGACGATCCTTAGCTTCTTCTTCTCTTTCTCCTCTTCTTTTCCTCTTCTTTCTCTCTAAAACCCTCACTCTCACTCTTTTAAAAAGGGACAAAAATGATCCAAACATCAGTCTAACACCTTAATATAACCCAAAGAAATGATTAGGGAAAAGACCAAAATACCCTTAAAATTTTCGGACTAAACAAACTGCACTGTGCGACTGTGCGACTGTGCCAACAGCCCAACTTCCAAAGGGCATAAGTCACTCATACGAACTCGGAATCAAGAAAACTCGGTGGCGTTGGAAAGATCATTCCAAGGGCTTTCCAGACATAACTAGAAATTCACCTAAATCATTTTGAGCTAGGAGATACGACTGCTCAAAGTTGACCAAAAACTCACCTTTTTTCCATAGCCAAATTTTCCAGATTCTTTCCAAAATGACTATTTCCAATTCAACTCTTCTTGGAACTCAATGTGCTACACCTAGGGACCTTAACTTAACACTCAAGAAATTTTTTATTCCTCGGTAAAATCCCACTCCACATGAAGGATGGCTCGAGTCTTAGTTCGAAAATTCTCTGGGGTGTTACAATATATGCTCTAGTTTTTGGACGGCAAAAGCACAAATATACCAAAAATATGACGAAGAATATCTGCATATCATTTACGATAGTTCAAGGGTATATTTGTCCTTTTTCCCTCTCTTGTACTCCTGGATAGTGAAACTTTCTTCTAGGCTAAATAATTTTTTGCTCCCTTTTGTAGGCAAGTTGTATAATTTTTTTAAAGAAAGGAGAGAAATTAGGATGGGATTAAACTTGTACAAGCAAAGTGCTGAAAATGAAAGATACCAATTGAATGCATGTCAGCTTTGTGTCAATTTATTTATTTCTTCTTCAATTATAAACTCTCGTACGTAATTTTCAAATATCTAAAGAGAGAATTATTGAAAACACCTTTAAACTTGACGTGAATTATTAGTTTCATCTCCAAACTATTGACAGTCTTAAAAACATCGCTGCAGTTGACTAACTGTAAACACACCCTTGATCTTGTAGGAATTCCATAAACACCCTCGACTATAGAAATTCCATACACCCTCGACTAGAAGCAGGAATGTTGATGAAGAGATACATGTTCCTCTTCTATATAGTAATAATTTTCAAATAAATAAAAGACTGAAAAAAGAGAAACAAATTAAAACGGAGAAAGAATAAAAATTTCATAAATATCCTCGACTAGAAACAAGCACATCAACAAAGAAGTGTCTTGCTCCTAGAGTCTTCTATATAGTAATAAATAAGATAAACAAATTTAAAGTGAAGAAAATATAGAATTTCATAAATACTCTTGGCCAGAAGAAAACACGTGAAAGAAGAGGTGCTTACTTAGGTAGCGGCTCCTAGAGTCTTCTATATAGCAGTAATTTTCAAATATACAAAATACTAAAAAAAAACATGAACAAATTAAAATGAAAAAAGTATAGAAATTACATAAATATCCTTGACTAGAAACAGACACACCCCGACAGACGGAGAGGTCCTTGCGCATCAAATGTGGTTGAAAAAGTTGACGCATGCACGGCATTTCCAATCTTACTTAAAACTTAAAATTTTGCTCACAAATTAGTGTATAATGAGATTTTCTCATATATATTACTTTATAAATTTTATATAAAATCCATATTGATTTCTATTTATTTTTTAATTATTCAAAAATGTTATTAATCTCCAAACAACTTGAATAAACATGCTCTAAGTCAACTTTAATGTACAAGGACGGTGGAGTCGACAATGTAGTTCATGTCCGAAGATGTGTTCACGGAGGAAATGTAGGCAGGAATCTAGGTTTCTTGAAAAACATGTTAGTGTTCTACGTATCCGTTTCAATTTATGCGACACATATATTATTTTAGTCCATTAAAAAGAATGAAATACTTTTAAATGTAAAAACGATTAACTTTACTCATTTATCCTTAATTGAAAACTTTTATAATCATGACATGGTTAATTCTACGAGTTTCAAAAGTTATATAGCTACACAAATGACATGACGTGTTTAAACAAATTCAAAAGTTATCATTTCTTTCTTTCGTTCAAGCTAGACTAGTTTTCCGGTTTCCCAAACAAGTCATTATAACCAGAACACATAACGGATAACTGCATAAACCAACAATAACAACAATATATCCCGTGAGGCAGAGAAGGATAGAGTGTACGCAGACCTTCAGTATTGTGTTTATAAGGCAACTTGTAAATGTATAATGAAAAATATTTTAAGTCATGTGATTTTGCTTCCAGATCTGCAAGAGAAATTGTCAACTACCTTTCTTATAAAGGATGCAAGCCCCAAAGCATTGACTAAATGTTACAAATTACTTTTTTAACTGCAATTAAGATTGAATGAACCAGAAGCTATAAAACTAGTAGTAGTATTTTACTGGCAAATTGCAGAAAATATAATATGAACTAAAAGAAGAATTGAAAAGAATCCCCTTGGATTACTCTATAAGAGGCCAAGGGAGAAGACAAACTAGGACATATTGAGCTTCATCCAGCTTGCGCGGAGATAATGAGTAACCTAAAAAACAAGTGGTTTTTCGCCATTGTGATACTCTTCCTAGCTGGTCTAACGGAGATCAATGGAGGAGAGCTCATAACATGCACCAATAAGAAAAGCAAATGCTTTCTGAAACCACTGAATTGCCCTGCAGAATGCCCATCAAAATCTCCAAGTGACCCGAAGGCTAAAGTTTGCTATGTCAACTGTAATTCCCCGGTGTGCAAGCCTGAGTGCAGAAGTAAGAGATTCTCTATGTTCTTAAACATTTTCTGTTTCATGTTATATTCACATTTGTTTGAACTTCGACTTTCTTGTGCTAGACCTTAAGCTCGCAAACACAAAAGTATTGTACACACTTTCCTAAAACGATTGGGCTAAAAAAAAGTCTCCAAAAATGTTTTCAAAAAAACATGTTCATTTGAAACAAATTGAAGGATGATGATGATACTTCCCAAAAATCTAAAATTCTTGATCAATGATACTTACAGACAGGAAGGCGAATTGCAATCAACCCGGAGCAGCATGCTTGGATCCTCGCTTCATTGGTGGAGACGGAATTGTCTTTTACTTCCATGGCAAGAGCAATGAGCATTTCAGCTTAGTTTCAGATCTTAATCTCCAGATTAATGCTCGTTTCATTGGCTTGCGACCTGCTGGTAGACCCCGAGACTACACATGGATTCAAGCTCTTGGAGTACTCTTTGACATGCATGCTTTCTCAGTGGAGGCTACCAAGGCAGAGTCTTGGGACGACGAAGTTGATCATCTGAAATTCTATTATGACGGAAAAGAGTTAGGCTTACCAGAAGGCTATCCATCTATATGGGAATCTTCTGAAAGCGGCATCAAGGTAGAAAGAACTGCGAGCAAGAATGGTGCTTTTATCACACTACCAGAAGTAGCAGAAATTTCAGTAAATGTAGTACCTATTACCAAGGAAGATGACAGGATCCACAACTATCAGTTACCTTCTGATGACTGCTTCGCTCACCTGGACGTGCAGTTCAGATTCTATGGCCTCTCAACGAAGGTTGAAGGCATTCTTGGCCGGACTTACCAGCTAGACTTCAAAAATCCAGCAAAACCAGGTGTTGCAGTGCCCGTAGTGGGAGGTGAAAAGACGTACAGAACTTCAACCCTTTTGTCTTCCAAATGTAATTCCTGTATCTTCTCTCCAGCTGGAGTTTTGAAAGAATCAGACCCCCTAGTCATGGATTATGGGACTTTAGATTGTACTGCAGGATCAAGCGGTGGCCATGGAATAGTTTGCAGGAAATGAGCACCCAATTGGGATATTATTTCTTTTGTCAGTTGCAGATAATAAAAAGCATGATTTTCAGTTCTTAGGCTATGTTTATTCCATAACCAAGTTTCTTTCCTCAAGGGCACATGATACAGACATGTCCTAGTTCAAAATTACAAATTTGTAATCTGCAAATGTGTATCTAAGATTTCAAACAAACTTTTCAAGAATGACTTGTGAAAAAGTGCTACAATTGAATACACTAAAAGAGTTGCTAAGAACTTAATAATTAGGCCAATATTGCATCAGAGTAAACTATAGAAATTAGCAGCATATGATATAAAAGGTCTAACATAACAGATGAATCAGATTTCCCACATACTAATAACTAGATGTTTAAGATGTTTAGAATCCCGCAACACAACTTTTATATAGGATTAGTGTATGCAAAACAGAAAATCTGGGTTCAACTGAACTGTTTCATACCACTTGGATGGCAGCTCCATCTATAATAGTCGAAGCAGATTCCGAACATGGAGGTTATCTCACAACAACGATCAGTTTAAGAGAGCATCGTTAATCAGCAGTAACAGCATGACAAACTCAGCCACCATCAGAAGATAATTCAGCAGAAGTGCTGCAACAATTGATTAATATTGTTTCTCTCTACATCACTGATTACGAAGCTTTGACAATTTATAGTCATGACATCTATGAGTAAAAAGAGGCAACTCTATCACCTATGTAATAGTTCATACAAGGTTACAACTAGGGGTCGTTTGGTTTGAAAATGAGTTATGATGGGATAAGTTATGTTGGGATAAGTTATGTTGGGATTAGTTATGATGGGATAAGTTGTGTTGGGATTATTTTTTATTGAGTGTTTGGTTTGTTGTATTCAAAATAATAAATTTTAAGAACAATTTATTTGTTTACAAAAATGCCCTTCATTAATGTAAAAAGTGATATAACAAAAGGGTTGAAAGAGACATTTTTGTCATTTACCTATTTTATCCCGGGATAAGTTATTCCGGGATTACTATACCACCCAAGGAGAGGGATAACTTATCCCGGTACTAATTATTAATCCCGGGATAAGTTATCCCGAACTTGCCAACCAAACAACAAAATAAACGGTACTATGATTTAATCCCGGGACTATTTGGTATTATCCCTCACACCAAACGACCCCTTAGTATTACAAAGACAAATTTCAATGGATGCCCAGCTCCACCAATCATTTACAGTACATACCCGAGCATTTATTAGGAAAAATGACCCAAATACTATGATTGAAAAGATTTTTAAATCACATTAATATTTTGTTGAAGCCACAAAATAAAAATTATGGGATGTCACATACACCAGAGACTGTTCCTTTTCACCTTCCCCGTGGATTTACCAGTTGAGAGAAAACAGCACTAGTGGCAGCATCCTCTGCATCATCATCAGTTCCAGAGTTGATCCCTTCGATCATACTCACACTGTTGTCAAATGGCTCAAATGGTGTCAAAGGTATGCTGGGTATATGGTTCATGCTGTTATCATCGGGCTCTGCCAGAGCTGATGAGGTTTCCTCAAGCTGAAGAGCATATTCTAGATTCCATAGAACATCCCCCATGGAAGGTCTATCAACTCCATGGTCAGCCAAACACTTCTCCGCAGTCTCCCCAAACTTCTTGAGGGAGGCTGAATTCACCTTCCCTGTAAGATTTGGGTCCATTATCTGATCCAACATGCCTTTCTTTTGCCAAGTCATGGCCCACTCAGCTATATTGACTTGATCCCGTGGTAGGACAGGATTCAATGCAGGTCTGGTGCAGAGCACTTCCATTAGGACAACACCAAATGAATAAACATCTGATTTCTCAGTAAGCTGCTGTCTTCTAAAGTACTCGGGATCCAGGTAACCAAAGCTACCTTTAACAGCAGTGCTGACATGGGTCTGATCAATAGCTGGTCCAGCTTTAGAAAGACCAAAATCAGCAACTTTAGCTACAAAGTTCTCGTCCAAGAGTATGTTTGTAGTTTTCACATCACGGTGAATGATGCTCTGCGATGCACCAGTGTGGAGGTAATGCAGCCCCCTAGCAGCACCTATACAAATCTCAAGACGCTGCTTCCACAAAAGAGATGGAAGATCCGTTCCATAAAGATGACTTCGGAGAGGCCCATTTGCCATGTATTCATAAACCAAAATCATTTCTGATCTTTCATCACAATAACCAATCAAAGACACAAGATGGCGATGGCGAAGCTTGGACAACATTTCAATTTCTGTTCGAAATTCAGCTAGACCTTGTTCAGATCTCGGGTTGCCTCTTTTGACAGCAAGCCTTGTCCCATCTTCTAGTGTTCCCTTGTAGACTCTACCAAAACCACCAACACCAAGAAGCAAGTTTTCATCAAACTTGTTAGTAGCATCCATTATTTCTTGGAAACTGAAGAATCGACCAAGATTGGGTGAAGCTAAGGAGATACAGCTTGCCGTTCCACTCTTTTGAGAAACTGTGGACATCTTTGTCAAAGTTAAAGAGTTTCCATACAGGGGAAGAGGAAGCCATGGCTGCCCCTGGCGGGAGCTCTTTGATCTGAGGGCTACCAAGCAGTAATAACACAACCCAATAATTGCTAATGCAGCTGATGCTCCTCCTACAACAGAACCAATTATAATACCTTTTTTGTTCTTTTTGTGAGGCCTCACAAATAGAGTCTCCACAGATGAAACCCCACTCAAGCTTCTAGCTCCATTGCTAATCTTCATGATTTCCAATCCATTCATAAGCGCATTGATCCAATCAGCTCCTGTGTCTGGACCAACACTGACTGTCAGAACACCTGAATTTGTTGTGGAGTTGGAGACAAAATCTTTGTAATACGGCACGTCCAAATTACCAACTGAAGACAAATCTAGGTCCAGTAAAGCAGTGTCATCATTTATGTACAGATTAAAAAGTAGAGTATTCAAGGACTCGCTCACGATATCACAAAAATGTACACGGATGAGGTACATGAAGTTTGGATCAACTGGGAACTCCCAGGTGATATTGAAATTCCCATCAACAGTATTAGCATCTCCCATGGTTTCAGCAGTAGCATAAACCCAATATGGTGCTATTTCAGGAGTAATGGTGGCTGGATATTTTATGCTTGAAGGGATAACTGAAACATTCACTGCAGAGCTATTAACATGCAGGTACTTAACATCATTCTCCCACGTTCTCCCTAGAGTATCATTCTGAGCAGTAATCAAAGGACCTCCCATGTTTAACCGATAAACAGTTTCAAGGGCTAGCCCAGAAAGGCCATTGAAAGGTGCTGGTGGAGATGCAGTCACTGCTTGATCAGGAATCAACTCATCAGGAGCTGATATAACTTCAATCGCATTAATAAACGCGACGGAGTTGTTTGAAGGGATTAAAGCAATAGTCAAGCTATCTGAAGTGACATTAATTGAGTATTCCTTAAATAGATAAGTACCCTTATATCTCTTGAAACTGAAATTGTTCAACAGAACAAAATTTTCTGTGACAACTGTGATTGAGGCAGATGTTAAGTTATGACCAGGGAGAGGATAGAAATAAAGGCGAACCCAATGTCTCCCTTCTTGATGAATATCAAATTCGTAAGATGTTGTAGTGTGGAAAATTCTAGCAGACTGGTAAATTGAAAATGGAGCAGTGGAATTAGATGTTGCAGAAATAGAATTTTCTTCACTTTCCAAAACAACTGAAGAATGGTGTGTGTCAGGAACAAAAATCTGGCCAAGAAAGGTTACATTTTTGGAAGATCCACAAGCAATCAAATATTTATCAGCAGGAGTAAAAGCAGCATTTGCCTCCTGAATCAAGAAACAGGACAGCATAAAAGCTAGAACCAAATGCACCCATAGCCCCATTTTAACAAACACCTGGTGGGCACAACAAACTCCAAATTCCCCAAGCAGACCTAAAGACTAATCTTACAAACCATTAATAGATCTATCTGAAGCAATGTGAGAGTAGCAAAGAAGCAATGAATAAAACAAGAAAAAATGAATCTTTTTCACTACTCTTACCTCATTCCTAGAGCTAAAAAAACTTAAAAGATTAAAAAATGGGTATTCAGAAAAAAGAAGAAATAAAGAAAACCCAAAGGGGAATACCTCCATGCCACCATGAAAACACAATCAAGTAGAGCTTTTTAGAGCAAAGTTTCCAAAACAGCTCTTTACAGGCTGTTGATTAGGCTGTCATTTTACAGAAGATATAGCAAAGGGGAGAAATGGAGGACCCCACAAAAGAACCCGCACCCCCACAGTTACACCAGCTGTGTTTCAATGGACATTGTGGTTTGATTTTGATACCCTCAGTATCTCAGAAAGAGCTATGAAGCTTCTGTAAGTGATACATTAAATGTAATATTTATCTATCTGTGCCAGGCTCTGTTTTGCATGAATTTAATTTTTTTTAATACTATAATGATTGAATATGATAGTTAAAAGAATACTAGGTACACTATTAATTAAGTTGCGTAAAGTAACAAACACTTCTTCATCTTTTCAATAGAAATCTCGAGTTTGAAAAAACCATTTTTACTGGTTGAAAGTATTTACTTCATGTAAATTTTTTGATGTATGAAATAATGGGATCCTACCTTATAACGATATCGAACAAGAAGGGAAAAAAAAGGGTAAATTTGGTATTGAATGAATATAGTTAACTTGTGTGTTACTGTCTTGGTGGGGCAGGGAGACCAATTTAGCCGCTTCTACGCGGCTTAAAGATACGGAGGAGACAACCAGTAACGCTACAGTTCAGCTGTCGTCACCGTCAGCTCTCAGCTGGCCGTTTGAGGTTTTGTCTGCTAACTGTAATTATCCGTTGCCGGAATCGAAATTACTGGAACAGAAACATGACTTAGTTTGAGTGAGTGTTTAAATCTTCCTTTGATATTTGATATAATGTCATTAACTTGATTTATTATTATAAATTTATGAAAATGACTCATATTCCGCTAGAAGAGATTGTCTGTATTATGTGAAAATATCATTATATTTTAAGAAATAACTAGTTACTGTTGTTGACTAATGGATCATTGTCATTTGGTAAGATTTTATAAAAATTGATAGAATTTTAGCTTTAAAAATTCAAATTACAAATCTAAAGTCTAAGTAAAATTTCAGTTTCAAAATAATATGATTTCAAATCATGATTTCATATCTGTTTAAACATATTCCTAAATTAATTTTTTCTGAAAAGTTTAATGAGTTATCATTTATATGATATAAACAAAGTTTCTTGTAATATTAAGTATAATATGTAATTATGTGTAAAAGTGTTTGAATTGATTAAGTGAGGATGTGCTTTTTAAATGAAGGATCTTGAGTTCAAATTTTCTGAATCGAATCTATTGCATGAAACTTGACTAATAATCTATCTTCTTCTTTTTTGGTGATTTGTGGTTACTATTTTAGAGTAAAAATTATTCTACCCACATTCAAAAATTATCTATATAATTTACGAAATATTACATTAATTTGATGACGGAATTTGTTAAACGTTAGTTAGACGTTAAAAATGAATTAAGGTGTATTCTATTTTAGGGTCGACCCATCAAATCTTTTTCTAATAACCGCCGCACCGTAGCACATGGCAACGTCCCCATTTGCTACTTTTTCTCTATTATTATTATTCTTTTCCTTAATTTAGAAAAAAAAAATATTATTCTTGTTTGGATTTTAGCGCTAACAATATGGGATTTTTTTTATTACATAAAAAATTCATTCTTGCAAGATCATTCATCATAGTTATGGTACACTTTTTTCCCACTATCTAAGTTTGGTTATTATTGACAAATAATTTTGATTTTCTGATTAGGATATTGGAATTTTTTAGAAGAGTTGTAATATTAATCATTTTGTAACGATAAATCACGACGATTGTTCTAATTCAATAACAATTCGATAAATTACAACTCTTAAGATGATTTATTTATCTTATGTGTCTTTAATAGAAATTATGTACTTTAAAGTGAGACTTTTTGGTGTAAAATTTAATTAATTCGATTCTTTAATTATTATAAAAATGGAAATGTAACCAAAACTTAATTGATAAATCATGGGATGAATGAATCTCCCTACTATGCTTAATCAAAGATTTTGAATTTAAGCATAAACATAAAAAAATTTTAAAAAAATGATTGATATTGAGCGCGACAAATAAAAATGGAAAAAAATGTACTAAATAAAATGATTGATAATTTGAAGAAGCATTTTGAGACAAAGGTTGAAAATGCGTATGAAAACCTTTAGGTTGAGTTCAAGGTCTTGTAACGCATTTTCTATCTTCTTTCTTCCCTTTTGTTTTTGGTGTTCACATGTCTATTCCTTTGACACTACTACATACATAACCTCTTTATTTTAACTACTCTTAAATTTTATTTTTTATTTTTTATTTTTTCTGTTTCGATTTGTTTGTTTGACTTTTATATGCTAAAATATTTTATCTTGAACATGTTACAAAAAATTGATGGATTAATAAAAAAAAACATCTTTTTGAAACGGTTTGAATTAAAAGATCGAGAAAGTAGAACAAATAACTTGGGACGGAAAAAGTATTTATCATAAGAGCAATTTCATGGTAAAAAGATTATCCACACAATCATATCAAATAATCATAATTTAGTGATTTAATGAAAAAAATATATATTTATTAATTAATAGTATTATATAATATATGTATATATAATATAGTATGGTAAGTTTTAAGAGGCTCTTATTCCTCAGTCTTTATATTGTCGAAAGAGAAAATGGAATCTTCCAACTTCTTCTATCATATGCCACGTCTGTATCACACGTGTCACGTGTACCTCTACTTTAATAACTTACAGCCATATTTGCCACGTAAAGTATTGTTTTTGGAAATTTTAGTTTCAATTCAATATTCGTTTCCTTTTAATCGTTTATTTAAAGTAGATTTACATCTTCCAATTTAAACTTTTAATATATTTTTTTGTTCTATAATGATGTAGTATCATTAATTAGTTGGGTAAGCAATTCAATATTCGTTTCCTTTTAATCGTTTATTTAAAGTAGATTTACATCTTCCAATTTAAACTTTTAATATATTTTTTTGTTCTATAATGATGTAGTATCATTAATTAGTTGGGTAAGAGTTCTAATCCGTCCATTAAAATTTATTAATCTTCCTCCATCTCAATTTATACAAAAAAAAATTCAGTTGATCTGAAAAAAAAAATTTACTACACTTTCTTATTTGGCAAGTCTTTAGTGGCATTATCAATATTTCCTTACGTTGATCTCACATATTCAACAAAAAGTCATAAATGTGTACTCTATTATTTTAAAATTTATTTATTTTAAAGCTAGTTTCGAAACATATCAAAATCTTCCTATATTTCTTACGGCATAATATATTATATATAAAGATGTTTTTTGACTTGGTCTCATCTGACATTCATGTCTTCAAACTTTTGATGCATATAACTAGACACTTAAGCGTGTATAGAATTGAACAAGTAGACTACACGTTTAATTACTTGACATTCTACACGATAATTCACCTCCTATGTGTCATGCTACGTGATGTCCTATGTGTATTATGCTAGATAAAATACATGTATTTATTAATTCAATTTTATATAATTTATGTGTCTACTTAGTATCAGCTAAATAATAACGAGCTTATTATAATTGTTTTCTCTCTAAATAATGAGTTAAATGCTAAAAAAGGAATTAATGCCAATTTTTTCACTGTAGTAGAAAAAAGATGTGTTGTATGTCCCACTAGAAACTAGAAAGACAAATTGGAAAAAAAAATTGTTGATTATTTAACTTATTTGTCGAAGATTTTTGTGTCATTTTTATTCTCTGCATTCAACTAAGTATCGAAGTTGTTAGTGCATGAAAATATGCACCGCCATTCACGGAACATGCGTCAATAATGCCGCACCGCGCGATTATATTCTGTCTTAAACTATATAATATGTCGTGAAGTCAAAATCCAAATTAGTTAAAAGCCACCACGTTACAAAATATTATTATTAATGGGTGAAAAAGTCAATATAAATTTCACGAGTATCCGTTAATATAATACTTCCATTCGAATAAATATCGAGTAATTCCGTCCAATAAAACAAAATTTTAGTATTTACTTTTTGCTGAAAATTGTTCATGAGATTCTCCGATCATTATATAGATTTCGTAATTTTCATTATTACATTGATCACTAAGCCACCATCTCAGATGCTTATTTGATTAAAGTCATGATTACCTCGATTTGAGAATAATGAATATCTATCTATATATCATAGGAGAGATAAAAGTGTCACATGTCAATACAAAAATTTAATAATTTTAAAATCTTTTAAATATGTATCTTAAATTAACTAAAAAGAAATTAGAAAAAAGGTAACCAACTATTTTAAAATTTTCCTGTTTTTGAAATACAACTTAAAAATAAAAAGTAAATATCTATCTATATATAAAAGGAGAAGAAAAAATGACACATGTCAACACCATAAATTTTCAGAATTTTAAAATAATTAATAATCAATAATTAATTAAATAAATATAGACACATGTCAATAATTAGAATTAGAACAACACATGTCAACACCACAAATTTTTAATAATTAAAAACTTAACTAATTTTAAATAATCAATAATTAATTAAATAAATATAGATACATGTCAATATTTACGATTAGACCCAATTAATTCTACGGTAGTGACACAAAATTTTAAATAAACTATAAAAAATTAGTATTAAATAATGTTAATTAATCAATAATTAATTAAATATATAGACACATGTCAATACTATATTTAGACCCATTTAATTCTATGGAAACTAAATATACTTTTAAATAATCAATAATAAATCTATTTTCTATTTATCTATCTATATATTATAAGAAGAAGAAAAGTGTTACGTGTCAACACCACAAATTTGAATAAAATCAAAAAATTAGTTAAATTTTAAAATGTTTTAAGAAAAAACTACAACAACGTTTTTTGTTCAAAATAGTTACCACACTTTTTACATTTTAAGAAGTCAAATAAAAAAATAGAAAAAGATTTAAAAAAAAAAAAGGACGGTTGAAACCAATTATCCCGTTTTCTTCCACTTTTTTTAAATTTAAAACATGCAGTTTTTTTTAACATAACAGTTTGCAACTTTGAAAAAAAATTAAAATTTTGAATTTCAAAAAATAACTAACCTTATCATTTGAAAACACCATCTTAAAACTATTACTCCACACCCTCTGAAAACTAATTCTTTAAATTCGTATTCAAACAAATGTATCCACATCAAAATTAATAAATTTGCAATATTTTTTCTCTCTTCTCTAACACAAAATATAACAGTTTTGGTATGCAAGAAGAAGAAGAAATTTACG